CGATGCTTCTCACCAGGGTTTGGGGTGCGTGCTGATGCAAAACAGGAAAGTAGTGGCATATGCTTCAAGGCAATTGAAGACCCATGAGAGGAATTATCCCACTCATGACTTGGAGTTGGCAGCTGTGGTGTTTGCATACCAGACCACCAGAAAGTCTTCTTGAGGTCTTGGTACATCTTAGTCATACCTGGATGTATGCTAAGTCTGCTCTTGTGGCCTTCCTCCAACACAACTCTCCTCAGCTCAGCATCATGAGGTAGGCAATTCCTGCCCTTAAACCTCAAGATTCCATCTCCGCCCAGCTCAAAACCAACAGCCTTCTCGGTAGCCAGCAAACCAAGAAGCTTCACCAGTTCAACGTCCTGCAACTGCTTGAGTCCAACCTGCCTCAAGAACTCATTAGTTATGGTAATTGCCCCACAACTAATGTGATCCTAAGCTAACTCCACACAGAGATTCAAATCCCTGAACTCCTCCACCAGCTCCAGCTCCCTCACCATCATACTAGACATGTGGATGGATTTCTTACTTAATCCGCCACAACATTGGCCTTACCAGGATGATACATCAACTGGAAATCATAATCCTTCAGAAACTTCATCCACCGCCTCTGCCTCATGTTCAGCTCTTTCTGATCAAACAAGTATTTCATACTCTTGTGATCACTGAAGACACTGAACCGAGCACCATACAAATAATGCCTCCATATCTTCAAGGCAAACAATACAGCTGCCAACTCCAAGTCATGAGTGGGATAATTCCTCTCATGATTCTTCAGTTGCCTTGAAGCATATGCCACCACTTTCCTATTTTGCATCAGCACGCACCCCAGACCCTGGTGAGAAGCATCACAATAAACATCAAAGGGCTCACCAGAATCTGGCAACACCAGCACAGGAGAAGTAGTCAACCTCCTTTTCAGCTCAACAAAGCTCCGCTCACAGGCATCTGTCCAAATGAACGGTTGCTCCTTCCTCGTCAGCTAGGTCAAAGGCGTTACTATCTTAGAAAACCCTTCAATGAACCTTCGATAGTAACCCGCTAATCCCACAGAGCTCCGAATATCAGTGACAGTCCTTGGACGTTCCCGCTGCAACACCGACTCCACCTTAGTCGGATCAACAGCAATCCCCTCAGCTGAAATCACATGTCTCAAGAACTTCACCTCATCCAACCAGAACTCACATTTTGAAAGCTTAGCGTACAGCTGCTTCGCCTTCAAAATCTCCAGCACCACCCTCAAGTGCTCTCCATGCTCTTCCCGGGTCCTTGAATAAATCAAGATGTCATCAATGAACACCACAACAAACTTATCCAAGAACGGCCGAAAGATCATGTTCATGTAATCCATGAACACTACAGGGGCGTTGGTCACGCCGAAAGTACGATGACTTTCCTGAGGATATGATGACCGACGCCGAGGTGTCGACTTTAAGCGTTCTTAAGGGATTGCCGAAGTGCATCCCGTCTCGGTTCCTGGTGCTGCTTCCCAAGTCGCCTCGGCCTCGTTTTGAGCTAGAGGGTATGTGTTGTTTTTATTTGTTGTTGCTCGTGTTTGTTAGGTTGATTTGTGACTTGTTGTGACCCTCCTTCACCCTAATTTGGTGATAACCTGACCTCAAGTCAATCTTCGAGAAAACGGATGCTCCCTCAGTTGATCCATCAAGTCATTTATCCGAGGAAGTGGATATTTGTTCTTAATGGTCAACTTGTTCAACTGCCGGTAATCAACACACAGTCGACTACCTCCATCCTTCTTTTTCACCAACAGCACAGGAGCACCCCACGACGATACACTCGGCCGCACAAACTGCTTCTCCAGCAGGTCCTCCAATTGACCCTTCAGCTCAACCAGCTCAACAGGAGCCATCCTATAGGGAGCCACCGACACTGGCCCTACACCTGGAACCAAGTCAATGCTAAACTCCATCTCCCTAACAAGAGGCAACCCAGACACCTCATCCGGGAACACCTCAGCAAAATCCTGCACCACATCAATTTCAACAATGACCCTCTCGGCCTCAACACTCAACGCAGCAAGCAGAAGACAGCACTCTGCTCCATCTCTCAGCAATGATTCAGCTTGGCTATATGAAATCAACAGCTCATCCTCCACCTGAGGAAAAATCAACCGCCTATTGGCACAATCTATAAGAATGCGATTGGCAGACAACCAATCCATCCCTAAGATTATGTCAATATCCACCAAAGGTAAGCAAATTAAGTTTACCTTATACTTCTTCTCATTCACTACAATCGGACAACCAGCACACAGCTCGGAAGCAACTACCGAAGCAAAAGTGGGTGTCGACACTAGCAGTCTCAACCCCAAATCACACACAGGCACACCCAACATAGCAGCACAAGCATATGATATAAATGAATGAGAAGCACCAGAATCAAAAAGGATCATCACATCCTTACCAACAGCTCTACCCTTCCCCTTCACAAGATCTGAGGAAGTAGAAGCTTCAGCCCCAGTCAAGGCAAATACTCTACCAGCTGTAGTGGGTTTGTCACCCCTCTGAGCATCACCTCTCTGGGTACCACTCCTCTGAGCATCACTCCTCTCTGGTCTACCTCTAGTAGGACAGTTGGTCGACTCATGACCCATCTGATGGCACTTGAAGCACCGGCTCTCCGTGTGTGGACAATCCCTGACAAAATGGGGCCCAACACACCTATAGCATCTCAGAGTGGCACCTCCACCCTATCTACCTCCACCAACAGCACCAGAAGGTTGCCTAATGACAGGACCCCCTTGTTGTGGTTGGGGCCTATCATATGGCTTCCTCTGATTCCCACCTCTCCTGGACCCAGCTGGTCCCTCAGCAGTCTTCATAGCACGGTTACCACCTTCCAACCGCTTCACAACCTTCGCCTTCTCCACTAAGGTCGGAAACTCAGTGATGGCCATAGGCACCACCACTCTCTTCAGATCATATTTCAGACCCTCAGCAAACTTCCTGCATTTCCAAGCCTCAGCTATACCTTGCAAATAAAAACGAGTCAGGTGCTCAAATTTCATCACGTACTCGGAAACAATCATCCCTCCTTGGTGTAATCGCATAAACTCAGCTTCTTTGGCGTGCCTCATGCTCTCAGGGAAGTACTACTCCAGGAACATCCTCCTGAACCATTTCTAGTCAATAACCACCCCTCTGGTGGTCAACATGTGATGGGTACCTCTCCACCAATGCTCAGCCTCCTCAAACAGCATGTACACAGCATATGTCAGCCTCCTCTCTTGAGAACAACCCAACACGGTAAAAATCTTCTCTAGCTCACAAATCTAGTGGTCAGCTACCTCTGGATCTACATCTCCCCTGAACTGTGGAGGATGACATTTCCAGAACTCAGTTAGGTCCCGGCTCTCCTATGACCCCGTGGGCCTTGCTACACCAGCTGCAACTCTATCAGCCTCTGCTCTAGCAAAATAGGCATTTCGCTGTTGCATAGCCATAGCCATCATCTCCATGGCACGGGCTATCTGCTCATTGGTTCTAGTCATTGTCTACAAAAGTAACAGCATCTTTAGTATACAACAACTAAACCAAACAACAATCAACAACACAGCAAATCATCACAGCAATCAGCACAGCAAACAACACAGCAAGACAACACAACACAGAGCTCAGCACAACAAAGCCTAAAGGAATCACCCCCATAGAGGGTCCACTAGACTCGAACTACTCTGATACCACTAAAGTGTAACGACCTGGCTAGTCACTACACACGGAACGGCACACTAGAAACACCACACAGAAAGGAACAAGTGTATATATATAGGGTCTAGAACATATACATATACATGATCCAAGTCTGGATAGAGTTAAAAGTGTACAAAATACATCAAATGCTACTACACCCAGTAGCTAAAACAACAAAAAAAAACATCTAAAAAGATTCAGCTCCGTCTACCAGCTATAGACCTATCGCAAGCCACCAACCTATCCCTGCTCTGCTCCCAAACATAGTATGATCATCGTAGTCCAATCATCATGGAGACAACAAAGGGTAAGCTAGTGAAAAGAAAATAACATACATATAAAATAATATGAATGGTAAACAGCTACAGTTATCAGCACATCCGCACAACTTATACTACACCACAGCAATTCAGCAATATCAGCACCGCAAAGCGATAATTTCAGCACTGCATAGCAGCAATAACAGCACCACACTAATCACAACATATTCATAGTGACCATACCTAGTCCTGAAAGCAGTCTTTGGTATGTCACCCTCCTTCACCCTAATTTGGTGATAACCTGACCTCAAGTCAATCTTCGAGAAAACGGATGCTCCCTTCGACCTATTGCATGACCGAAAGGGTGCTTACTAGTACAGAAACAATTTTATTTTTATTTTTTATCTTAAATTATATTAATTAGATTTTTTTATTAATTTTTTAATATCGATCGATCTTACCGGTTTAATGAACTATTGAATCATTGCCTAAATCCATTCGATAATCGTTACCTTTTTTATAATATTACTTGAAACTACCCGACTAGGAGGGATGATAGGCGTGCAAGCTCAAATTTAATTTAATTTTTTTACTTATTAGACTTATAACGACAAAAGACCGTACCTAAACAAATTCGAGTACAATATTACATTGGAATTTGGAAATATAGCACCACTGATAAAAGTACAACAAGATGTGGGAATGTATATCATTCCTCTACTCAAAATTATTCATCGTGCTTCTCATCCTCGTTAATCTCATCAAGAATCACAATTAGCGCCACTATGAACGCATAATCAATGTTGGGGTACACTGTAACATTGAAATGGTCTTTCCCAATGAAAATACTCTGAACCGTATGCTTTTTATGCATCTGCAAAATTAACATCCCCATGAATTCATACATTCTTTATGTAATTTATTCATTAGGAACTAATTAGAATTGATTTTAAATATAATTTCTAAAACAATTATCATAAATACTAGTTATAATTCATTGAAAGCACAAAGTTAATTAATTCTAATTATATTTGTGGTAAATAAAAAATATTTTGGTAATTTAAACAGGAGTTTTACCTGGGCAACGATGGTGTTAGATTCACCAGCATAAACAACACAAGATCGTTCCATCCAACTTCCTTTGACCTTAAAGTCACAAACATCTTCTTTGGTGTTACTTGCCAAAAACACATCTAATTTGGTCCTAAACTGGATAAGGGACGATCGCTTCAGAGTAAATAATAGATCCTTGGACTCTGTGCTTTCACCCCTAAAAGCTTGCCATCGATCATGTGCGGTCATTATCTGCATATTTCAATAATACAATTTATGTGTATCATCAAACTCAATAATAAGATTATATGAATGATGGAGATATAATTTAAAGTTTCAATTTCAACTCACGTTTTTCTCTTTTATGATAAAAATAAGCAAGAAAAAAAAATATTTTTTTTATAAATATATATTTTTTTCTTATACCCTGCTACGGTAAAATAGCTTTTTATTATACGATAAAGCTTTGGTAATTCCTAAAATTGTGTAAAAGAAGAACTAATTAAAGAAAGTGGCAGTGCTTAATTAGTAAATTGAAAGAGTACACAACATAGATGAGCAACTGGGGTAGTAAATTAAGTGAAAAGGGTGATAAAAGAGAAACCTTGCGGCGGAGGGTGACGATGGGGTTGCCGGCGGCGTCGATGAGGAGGCGGCGGTCACGGAGGGTGAGGAGAGAACCCTTCACTTTGAATACGACGTTGCCGTTGACATCGGTCACCACGAAGTTACCGTCGGAAATAGTCATGACTTTCTTCACCACCGCCAGATCCACCGGGTACGGCGCGCAGTACTGCGGCCCGATCACGACGGTGGGGAGCGGCGGCATGGGGGCGGAGGCGGAGGGCAGTGGTCGCTGCGGCGGATAAGGATTTGGGTATGCCATGATGATCGATCAGATCACACTCAAATAAATGATATAATTAAAATTAAAATATTGTTGACTCCACTATGCGCTTCACCTTCACCTTTTTATAAGGAAGGCATGAATGTGATGACGAGGATGAGCATCTACGAAGCTTCTTAAAAACCTGCGTGTAAATTATTTTTAATTCTTCCCATCGTGTGGAATACTTTTTTGCATTTTCCTTTTCTGCGTGTTGTTTATTTAGTTAGTGTTTGTTTCCGGTGATTTACTATTTACGAACAATGAAAGGTGAAGAAAGTGGGTGTTTGTTTCCGGTGATTTGCAAAGAAGAAAAGGCGAAGAAAAGGTAAGTTTCATCTCATTTCATTATACGAAGGAAGCATATGCAAGCCCATAATCGTTTATGTGGCCATGCATAATCGATTATGCTAGCCTATTTTCGCTTCCAGTCGAACCCAGAACGGGCCGTTCCAAAAATCAATTTTATGAGCAATATGCGAACTTAGACCGAGCCGTTCCATTTTGGGAACGGACCATTCCACTTTTGGAACGTGCCGTTTCATTTTGGGAACGGGCCGTTCCACTTTTGGAACAGGCCGTTTCATAGATGGTCGTTGTGGGTTAATTTGTAACCCCAGAACGGCCCGCTCTAGTATGAGAACAGGCTGTTCTGGGTATCAAATTTTGGCATGACAAATGAGTCAAG